TCAGCTTTATTTTGGGCTCACATAAGGCTGTTTGCAACTTACTGATTATAAGAATATCTCCTTGAAACAAAATTATTCTGAAAGGAGGAGACTATCTTTCTTGTCCAGAGGATGTGAAGAAATGCTTCACTTCCCCCAAGAGGAAAATTCGTGGGATGCTGTTCAACTGCAGGTTAAGCCTCTGGGAGGCCAACGAGGAGGCCCACGTTCAGTGTCAAAACCAATATGCGGCAAGCCATGAAGACGGCTCTGGGGTCTGAGGCCATGGGGTGGCACTGGCAGAGGGCAAGGTGGGCCCGCGGTGCTGGCCCACACCCATGAGTGCCGAGACACAGGCAGGTCCCGAGTGTGCTTCACAGCCCTGGCCAGCTCTGCCCAGCGCAGGAAAAAATGCCAGCAAAGCAACAGTCCAACTACAGAGTGGAAAGCAACTCAGCGAGGACTGAAGGGCGCCTCAGGGGCTGTTTCCTTGGCAGCATCTCTCTTTGCCGGATGATCTCTTGAAGGCTCTCAACATGCCAAACAACAAAACCCACCTGCTCAAGACCTGAGCATCGCTAGGACACAGAGCTTTATTTTATTGAGAAACAAATATCAATGAGACAGTTTCAAAGCTGATTAATAGGACATTTTCAATAATTAACACATTGTACATTGTTATCTTCTTAGTGGTTATCCATAGCACAAGAAGCAGACAGGATAGCCTGTCCAAACACTATTACTACGTATCTTTCTCTTCATTGAACTAAGCGAAAGTAGCTGTACATCCACCCTAACTGTTCTGTATATACAGATACAAAACGGTCCTTCCTTTGCATCCCCTCCTTTGCTCAGTCCTGTCACGGACGGGTATTCCACTGGCATCCAAATACTCCAGGCACCTGAATTCAGCACAACAATGCAACACAGTCCAGCAGGCCACAACAGCAGTGGGTTATCCACAGAAGTTGTTGACTAGAGCCTTCTACAGCTCAGCACACCAACATGGCTTTACTTTATATACTTCATCCTTATACTTTTCTGCTGGATGGTTAAGACCAAGATAAAGCAAGACCTACGTAACAAGAAATGTAACTCCTATACCTGAAGAGGTCAGTCAAGTCCCCCCAGGATCTACCCTGTAACCCTGTACTACACTTTGCAGATCCTTTGCCAGCATCAGCCATGTGGATGAGTCATGGCCATCGCCCGACCAATTTGCTCTCTGTGAAAGCCCGAGAGAAAGCTTTCTCCCCATGTGACTCTTCTCAGACACACCATACATCATTGATCACTTTTCTCTGTGGCGCCATAATCTCCTTGATCAGAAAATTTGGGGCTCAACAGAGTTACATGATGTTACAGTACAGGTTCTCCTACGTCCTGAGTCCTCACTGACCTTGAAAGGCTAGGGCCAAAATGTTGGCAGACCTTGCAGCCCTTTCTTTTCTCCCATTTTTGATCTGCAAACTGAGGTTGTTAACCCTCAAGAACAGAAGCTTATTATTACCCTGCAACATATGCAGTTCGGTTTACCCTAACTCTCCGTCTAAATAGCAAGCATCTTAGGCATAACGTGGAATAGGTATTTTCCATCAAGTATTGATGTGTTGAACTTTAAGTCCTTACAGAATATGGAGAGAAAAAAATTTAAAAAATAGGAATAAACACATTTGAACACAGACTCTTATCCTGTGACACTCCTTCAGGACACAGAGCTTGGAGACACCCCCACATAAAGTTTAGCTTCAAGTCAGCCCTTTTCCACCAAGCTCAGTGACATCATCAGCTGTGCTTCACCCAGAAGCCATTGGCTCAAGTGCAGAGAAAAGGCGACAGCGAAGGCGACGTGTGACACCGCCCTGCACAAAGGAAGCAGGGCTGCCCCACTGCCTGCCCCTGTCACCAGGCCTTTGCACACAGCCAGGTGACCAGCACAGAAGTGTTCCTCTCAGCCACAGGGCTGTGCCGTTGAGCACAGGCCCCTGCCGTGCTGGGAGAATTAATGGGGTATTACTCTGCTACTCAACTGCATGAGGCCTACCTCCTTCAGTGACAAAGAAAATCACAGGCTTTGGTACCTAAGTACAGAGGATGTGTTACTCAAGTGCAAGCAACAAACCCCTTCAAAATCGAGCCTACACACCTTTCTTTCCCAGTGTTCTCCTTCAGGACATGGCTTCATGTGTTCTTCACTGCATTAAATAGTAACTGAAAATCCTGGCCAGAGCCAGGCAAGTTTGGGTCTGTGAGACACACACACACAGAGAAGAAAGAAAAAAAAAAAAAAAAAAGCACTGCCCAGGATCAAGCAGAACTGAGTATCGATCTATGTATCTTTCTTTTTTTTTCTTACTTGCTTGCTAAGTTGGAAAAGGCTTCCTCTTTCACTATTCTACATTTTGCAAACTGTATGGAGAACAGCAAGAAATTATCTGAGGGAGCTCGACTCTATCCTGGTAGATTGCACCCCATGTCTGATGTGAACAGAGGTGGAGCTGATAAACAGGTGTGGCTAGTAGGGCAGCCTGGCCAGCCCCAGCCACTCTCTTCCAACTGGTGACTGCTACCCTGCGCAGAGCAGAGACCTGGCTTTTGAAGGCACCTACGGGGCTGAGCAGTCCTCGACAACTCTGTTAAGAGACATTCTGTGAATGCAGTCGTAACGGGTTCACACTGGCCTGACCCATCAGGTGGCTTGTACCGATCACTGTTACTGGTCATTTTACTAATAAAATTAATAAATCCAACCAGTAGGACAGTCATGCATGTACCACTGGTGGTTCAAATCAGACATGAATTATGGACCTGTAACAAACATGTTAACATATAAAGCCCTGGCCATGCCACCGTGTCAGATCCCCTCCCCAAGGTACTCCTCAGTTGTCCTGTTGTCTCAGGCAGCAGTGTCTCCTCCTCCTCCTGCTAGTCCTCCTCCTGCTGGTCTTCCTCCTCCTGTTCCTTCTCCTCCTGCTGCTCCTCCTCCTCCTGCTGGTCCTCCTCTTCCTCCCCCTGCTGGTCCTCCTCCTGCTCCTCCTCCTGCTGGTCCTCCTCCTCCTGCTCCTCTTCCTCTTTCTCCTGCTCCCCCTCTTCCTGCTGCTCCTCCTCCTCCTCCTCCCCAGAGCCTGCCCTCTTCTGCTCTGCCCCAAGTGGCCATCGGCAGCATTTCACCCCACCTGAGCCACACCCTGGGGAGTGTGGCCACCTCCAGAACAGTGAGAAGGAGAGCCAGAGCAAAGGAGGGGCCGGATGGGCAGGGGACCCGGCTTGCCTCAGCAGCACCAAACCTGTCAGAGAATGTAAGGGGGAACTTCCACCTTCCTGACCACCACTCAATGTGCATCTCAGTGACTCTGGACCTATCCAGCCCTTCAATCTACACCTCGAAAAAGCATCGGACAAACCAGTTTCTTTCACAGCAGTTCACAGATAAGAAAGCAAGAATATAATCAAAACTACCTTGACACAAAGCAAAATTACTAGGCTGGGAAAACTGAAAGAAAAGAAACTTTCAGCAGTCAGACTTAGCAAAGTCAAACAGGAGGCACTGGAGCAAGCTCACATAAATGAGAAAGAGCAGTGGACTAAACGAGTCAGCGCCCAGCCCAGCCCACTCTACTGCATGCAAAAATAGGAGTCACTGCAGTGCATGGCCCACGCCCATGGCCACGCCCATGTTCCAATGTGACGCTTTTGGGTATACTGCTCTGAAATAAAGTAAGTGATTTCGTGTCACAAGGAAAAATGAAAGAGTCCCTTCCAGCCAATCAGTGAGCGAAGAGGACGGCAAAGTGCAGCAAACACGGGAAGCGGTTCAGCTGCTAGGGGACTGTAGCTGCTTCTGGAATAGAGGGGAGCAGGGGCAGACCAGTGCTCTACCCTGAGCCGCCCAAGCTGGTAGTTTATTACCCGAGCACAAACACAATCACAGAGAAGCACGGCGAAGGTACAGCAGGCAGCGGCAGTGCTTTCTCATCCAGAATCAATGAGTGCGGTCCCTGTGCTGGTATAGATCGCCCCAGAGGAGCATGCTGTCCAAACAGACTTCCAAAGGTCGACTGACCGACCTTCCTTGTTGTTTACTGTTTCCATCTAAATTTAGGCAGTCCTGCGGAATCCAGCGCTCTGGCACCAGACAGGGGCCAGCACAGCGCTGCGCTGCGCTGCGCTGCAGGAGCTGACAGCACAGCTGCCTGCCTACCGCGCTTTGGTGTCTGCTCTCCCTCGTCTGCAGACAGGGAAGCAGGAGACGCTGGAGGCTTTTCTCAGGTCATCTGCTACTCACTGGGTCCTAAGAAGCTCTGTGCTGTGAGTCAGGCAAGTCAGGCCCTGCCCAGCAAGGCCAGCTGCAGAGTCCCCAGGCCCAGCCCCTCGCTCCTGTCCAGGTGTGCTGCCTTAGCTCATCTCTAGTCTAGCATTTAACGCAACTTTCAGGGGAGAAGAGTGCTGAATCCCGCAGAGGCAACCACTGCCACGGCAAAGCGCAACTCCCTTTATGCTTCTCCGGCAGACGTGGCTTCCTAAATACACTGTACAATGGAAAGCTTCCAGTCATTTGATATTTAATATAAAACACTACAAACTGGTTCTCTTGAGTAAGCTCCAAATCTGTTAATAACAAAGCACTTTCTCTTTTTATAAGTCATATTCAGTTGGCAAATGGAGACACTCAGGCTCCTATAAGTAAGACTTGTAAGTCACTGCGAGGTGGCCTAGGACACAGGACCCTGCCCTGGGCCACATGCAGACTCTTCAGGGCCACTTTGAAGCGCCACTTTCTGTGAGCTGAGTCCCTGCTTTCAAAATGAACTGTCCTGCCAAGGAAACAAACCCATCTATGTCTCATAGAGGGCGGAAGGGAGGTGTTCACTTTTCTCAATCCAATTTGTTGCTCACTCTTTAGAAGTTTTACTTTCCATCATTGTTAGGAACACTTTTCTGTTAGCGCAGAGTGAAAACCTTAGTCATTACCGCAGGTAGACATCTTAAGTTAAGCTACAAGCGCCTCTTTCTCACTTGACCTCAACCTGCTGCAGCCCATTCAGGCCCCCACATGCAGGACACACGTGGGCCCCAAGGGCAGAGGAGGCCCAGAGGGTCTGCTCTGTGCCCGACTGCTGCCGCACACCGATGAGCCCCAGTGACAAACACTATATAGCTCAACACTTGCACAGAAGGGGAAGTTCAAACCACACCATTCATCGCTTTCATTGAAGAATCCAGCCTTCCTAGTTAACATGATGAATCCTACTGACCCATTACACAACTCATCATTTAGCAGAGTATAGTTTGTGTTATCTCCTCCTCAACTGTACTTTTTTTTTTTTTTTTTTTTTGGTGCTGGGCATGAAACCCAGGACTCTGTGCATGTAAAACATGCACTCTACCATGAGCTCTACTGCCAGCTCCCTGAGCATTCTGAGGCGAACCACCCCTCCCCACCCTGAGTCCCTTTCCTACAGTGCCACCCAACAGCACTGCAGATTCTGAACAGCAGTCCAAAAATGGCAGCCTCTTCCTCTAACAGTCTCCCAAGAACCTTCTCTTGGGCTCAGGTGCCCTTGCAGCCGCATAGGACAGGGGATAGGCCTAAGACAAAGATCCAGGGCTCTCGGATTGGCCACAAAGACCCCCCCCATCACTCCACAGACACAGCTGGTTTTGCTTCATGTATCACATTCTGCGGAGAGAACAAATCTATCGAAAAGCTTCTGACTGCCACGAAAGCCCCAATTTCACAGCTCCACTTTCTAATTTGCTAAACAAGTTAATGCAAGTCATTAAAAAAAGAAACAGCAAACAGTAACAGGTGTTCTCTGAAATTCTCGCACTGAAAGTGGAATTAAGTGGAAAGTTAGGGTTAGGGTTACCACCTCCTATCTGCTCT